GCAGTTGAAACTGATCAGCGGCTGATTCCAGGAAGCCGGGGGCAGAGCAACTCTGCCTAGGGCTTCCTGTAGACAGCCGCTGATCAGTTTCAGCAGCGGCTGAATCTGGAGCCAGTTCCGATTTACATACAAATTCAACTTAAGAACAAACCTATAGTCCCTATCTTGTACGTAACCCGGGGACTGCCTGTACTGCGCTTTCATAATGCCTCAGGAGTCTGCTGTTCTGTATCCCCATAGCACAGTGTAACTTAGCACTTAGCCATTGTAGGTCTCCACAATACTTTAACTGTCAATCATCAAATACAGGTCACTCACATCAGCCCTGTGCACTTGTCTCGCTATATTCCGATATATCTGCATGTCCTACATCTTGGTTTGCAAGCTTGCCTGGCTTGAATTCCAGCGAAGAGCATTGCATCGCTTATGCTACCTAGTATTATCATGGCATCCAAATCCTCTTGCACTTCCAGCTCACTTGCTTTGCTTCTCTTTCAGTGTCTGTGGTGCAGCAGCAGCAAGAGGTGCGTGGATTACCCGGTTAAAAACCTTCTCCCGCCTCGCTCTCTCTGTGAGCTGAGTTCTGCACGCTGGGGAGTCTGCTGGGGTAAGTGGATTTTACTTCAGTGACTTCTGGAAAACATAGTCACTTCAGATGGCTGGCACCATATTAGTTCAACAGCCTCTGTTGCTAGTTACACCTGTTGTAAGAGGAGGAACTTCCAAGTGTCACTAGGGTGATGCTGCACTGTGTTAGCAGAGACCCTCGCTATATCAAGTGTTTTCAAAGACCACCTCTTCATGCAGAGTCTTCTGGACCATCTCCTTTTCTGCTGGCAATAGAATAACTCCGGTGACTACAGGTCTGTGGATAAGTAGGATTTGAACACGAGGTAGCTTCTGTAAGTCGTTAGGGGCTGGGTGAAACGAACCAGGTGTCAGAGGGACATCAGCAAGTGCTTCATACACCACTGGTGTCAGTAGCCTTGCCTCGCCTCTGGGAACTGGAGTCCAGGTTGTCCCCTTCTGTGGTGAAGAGCAGATGAGTTCTGTACAGCAAATGTTGCAAGACAAACGGCAACGTGCAAGCTATACTTCCCTGTGTGTGGCTCTGGTGGCCTTTTTTTAAGGCTAGAAAAGACCTGTATTCGTACCTGGTTTGATGTCCTATATAGTACTGGTCATAGAAGTTTACTGGGCTAAATGGGCATTAACCAAGGGTATGTCTATACTGCCCGTTTATTTCGAAATAAGCTATTTCAGAATAACTATTCAGAAATAGCACGTCTACACTGCAGGGAAGCCTCCAAATTAGTCCAAGGCGGGCTTCCCTAATGTTGATGTGCTACCTTGATTTCAAGCCCCAGGAGGTACTGGGGAGGAAGAACTTGGAACGGCCCTGGGGAGGGGCTATTTCAAAATAGCAGCACTGGAGCGTCTACGTGTGCCTTATTTTGAAATAGCTCTTTCGGAATAGGCGGTATTCTCGTAGAATGAGGTTTACAGATTTCTGAATAAGCCATCCGTTATTTTGAAATTATTTTTGAAATAACGGAATGGCTGTGTAGACGCTCGCGTTATTTTGAAATAACGCTAGCTATCTTGAAATAACGGTGCAGCGTAGACACACCCCAAGTGACTTGTGGCTGGACCATCTTCTTAAACATCCAGTCACGAGTTAAAGTCCCCAAGCGACTGGGCACTTGCCTTAGCCACTGAAATGGATTAAGGATAATTGTCCCCTTAAAAATCTGCATCTTGGTCCTAGATTTACATGACTGAGTTCGCGGTCAATATCCTCTAGCAAGCTGGAGAACCCCTGCACATGCAGTGGTGTTTAGTCCATGAAGAACAGCTCCGTGTGGCTCTAACATGTTTCTCGCCACCAGAAGTTAGTCCAATAAAATACATTACCTGACCCAGTATTTGTGCCTGATATGGTCCACAGTTTTTCAGCCTCCCATTCCTGTAGGTGCAGGCACCTCTTCCTGCCCTTGGTGAACTGGGTAGGCCTGTATAGGGAATCATGTGGCACATCTGCAGGTATCTAGAAGCTATACACGCTTTAATAATGGCTTCCCCTCCCTTTTGTGTCACTGCACACGGTAGTGATCCCTTCATTAACGGACCTAACAGAGTCCCTTCTTTAAAAAGATCTAAAAGATGCTCTAGACGTGGCATTAGAAGGCAGAATAATGGGGTGAAATTCTCTGGCCTGTGTTATGCAGGTCAGATTGTCATCATAGATCCTTCTGGCTTGGAGTCTATGAATGAAGTTCCTCACATGCAGCAGGCTTGAGGGCAGAGTCAAAAATGCACTGTTGTCCGCTGGCCAGTGATCCCGGACGTGGCTGGCCTAGTTCTCCTCGGGGTAGCTTGCAAGGCTTTGACTTTGTTAATGTTTCAGTAGAGGTTACGTAAAGCGAGTCATTGAGTTGGATTTTCGTGAAGGAACTGAAGTGCCTTGTCAGACATCTCTTGTGCCTTTAGAGCAAAGTGCGCGTTTGTTGTGTGATGGCTTCTGTTGTCCCCAGCCTTGGGGGAGGGACCAGTCAGGGGTCTGACTAAAATACTAAGCGTATGAGGAATCCTAGTAAGGGGGGGGGGGGGGGGGGAAGAGACACACAAAATATTCCTAAATTCTAAATGAGCGTCCTGCAAAGGAGTGATCCCTGCCTTTTAATCGCTTGAAGGAACAAAATGTATCCGCTGCTGAGCTGGATTTTGTAATTTAAAGTAAAAGGTTCGGAAATGTGGCTAGTCCTAGGGAGGCGCAGAAACAGGCAAACTATTACTAAATATCTTTGAAACTTTTATTAAAGGGCTTCTACGTATAAATTATGATTTTATCAATTTCTTACATACGTAGGCACCAAATAATTATTAGAATGTCCAATAAGAAAAATGCAATACAGTAAAGAAACTTCCTTGAGGTTTCTCTAAATCCCAATAGTTGTTAACAAGGGACTAGGGATTATTAAGTTACATTTACATCAGTGTTACTTATCAGACTAATCATTTATCTAAAACTTTTAACACTACTACTTAACAATACCTCTAAACAATTTCAGATAACAATACTTACATTGAACAGACACACAAACTACAACAACAACATATTTGGTATGCGTTATATTTGGTATACGTTACGCTCTACAGGAACTCATTTGGTTCAGTGAGCGGGAGGTGGCCCTCGGGTGATCAGTCCTCGGACCTGGCTCATATTCTGCCTTGCAATGTTTATTCGGGATTCCTCAATTTGATACAGGAGGGGAAGCTGTTTTATAGAGAGAGCTTTTGCATGCTTTTTGTGATAGGCTAGCAGACCCTGTCTGTTAAGGAACAGGAGTAAAGGGGTGAGATGGTTTCCTGTTTTTCCTTTTCTGCCTTATCGGGCATGGCACAGTCAGCACAACCAGCATGAACTTTTCGGGTCTTGTTTTGGTTCCTGTTCATCACTGATCTTTAAGTTACATAGTGTAAGGGTTTTTCATCAAGGGGAAGTTGACCTTTTGCTTGGATGGCAATATGCACGAGAGCCGTGGCCAGCAAAGAGCCTGCTTCCACAGATTTGTACAGCAACGTGCTCTTTGGCAGTTCAGTAACAGGTGTGGTACACCCAGTTTCGTTTGCTGCTGATGGATGGGGACCAGGAAAACTTCACAGCATGGAGTGGAAAATCGACTCTCTTGCCTGATCCGGGGGTGGAACCCAGGCCGTAGCATCCTGAATATTGGCTTACAGACTCTGCTGCTGCCGTGAGGCATCAGTTGCAGCCTTTGAGGGTATAAAAAACGGAGAGGCGGGCAGAGCCTAGCAAACAGTGACTGAAATTAACTTTGGCTACATTCTGAGCTGGGCTGGATTTAATGCAGATGTTTCAATTTCAGCTAGATCCAAAAGCTCTGCTACTCAAGTCTCTCCTGCAATTTTTAGATAATAGACTTAACCCCTTCTCCTCCCCCCCCCCCCCCGTCTTGGGACTTGCACTTAATTCCCATTTGTGGTATGCTGTCTCCTTGGCCTGCCTCTGAAGTGGTATCGTCCAGAGAGAGGAGGCAGCGGGATGTGGAGGCAGGTCCATGGAACCGGCTCCCCATGCGTTATTGACTCCCACCTGCCCCTCGCCCTCCTGCCTCTGATACAGAGGCAGCAAGATCTGGGGGGGGGGGGAGAATGCATACTTGCACTTAATTCCCATTTGTGGTATGCTGTCTCCTTGGCCTGCCTCTGAAGTGGTATCGTCCAGAGAGAGGAGGCAGCGGGATGTGGAGGCAGGTCCATGGAACCGGCTCCCCATGCGTTATTGACTCCCACCTGCCCCTCGCCCTCCTGCCTCTGATACAGAGGCAGCAAGATCTGGGGGGGGGGGGAGAATGCATGTTGTCAACAGGATTAACCGGTTAATCGTGTGGTCATCTACACATTGGCATCCCTAGTGTGTGTGGGAGGGTTCTGTCCATCTCGGCCCAAGAGTTGGTGATTGTTGTCAGATACACATTACACCAAGGAAGGAATCAGACTTGCTCTTGAACTTGCCCAGGAAGCTTGTTCTGGAACTGGGTTTCTACCTACGAGTCAAAGATCCTCCATTTCTAGTCACGTTCTCATTGACGTGGTGTTGGTATACAGGGAATCATCAGGCCTTTTTGGATTTCTATGACCTTGTGAAGAAAGCCATTTTAATGCTCGTGTTTTGTTTTCTGCTTCTAGGGCAGCTTAAATAAGACCTGCTACCAGTAGTATGACTGCCATAAAACTGCTTAAAAACAGCTTCATAATTTAACTACATGTTCTGACTTCAGTTGGTGCTGTTGCATATTTTTCAAGTTGGTTACAGCAAAATAAACAACTTTTTTTTTATGTGACTGTATTTAAATTGCCCCATCCTGCAAGCATACAACCAGGTGATACGTGTTATCACAGGGGCATTGTCTGACCCCTCAGAACACATTGGTATCTTCGCAAGTTCTTGATAGCTGCTGTAATAGCTATAACTTGGTGTACAGTTATGCTACGGTTGCCAGTTTGGCTTGGATACATTCCTAAAGGTGTCGTCGTGTTACAATCTTTAATTTAAAGATTTGATCTTTTAATTCCTGTAGACAATCTTGGAGGACTGACAAGCCTAAGTTATGCATCAGTTAATTGTAGAACACCTGTATGCTCTGGTAACCTGCTTGCTTGTAGTCGTCCGATATCTGCACTGCTTTCTAAACAAAACAAATGGGTCAAGCTAATATAAATGTTTTAAAGCGAAACCAATGGCTTCTGTGTCATAACTCACTGTCCTCAAGATTGTAATTCTCGCTTAACATCTTCCAGTTTTGTGTTTACCAATGTTTTCTCCTGTCCAGTGAACTTTGAAGCCTTGATCATCACAATGTCCGTGGTAGGAGGCGTGATCCTTGTCTCTCTCTGCATCTGCTGCTACTGCTGCTGCAGGAAGAAGAGGAGCAAAAAGCAAGTATCTGAAAGGCTGATCCCTACTGCAGCTCTCTAAAAGAGCTGCACAAAGCTTAAGTAGATGCTAAAACGCTGGTGAGTGCCAAACACACTGACTGCCTGTTGTTTCTGCCAGGCCAGACAAAGAGGATGAGAAGGCTGCCAGGGAGAAGGAACAGAGGCGAGTACGTCAAGAAGAGAGGTGAGTACCCCATGGGAGGAAACTGGCAAAGCAGAATAGATCACCTTCTACCTAAAATAACTTTCCATGAACAGCTCGGCACACCTGTCTCCATACTGGAGACATGGGACGGCATAGCGGTGAAATACCCATCTATTGTGCGTATACCAGTCTCCCCACAGCATGAGGCAGTGGTTGGTCAGTAATTTAAATGTATCGTTGCGCACACAGTCCTTGGTGCCTGCCACTTCTGGCTAAGGATAATGTCACGTTCACCTTGAGCAAGCATCTCTGGAGACTGTTGCCATGGGTGACCAGTTGAGATTATAATGCAGCTTGGCAACATCCTTTTAAATTGACGATTAAACATGAGACGATTTGGAAGCATTGGTTTACTAACTTCTTAGAATTTGAAACTGTTTCTGATCCTCTTAGGGGCAAGGTGGGTGAGGCAATATCTTCTACGGCACTTCTGTCGGGGTGAGAGAAGCTTTTGCGCCTCTCCCTGCTCTTCAGCATCTGTGTAAACTCAAAAGCTTGTGTCTCTCAACAGAAGTTGGTCCAGTAAAAGACTCTGTCGTCCACCTTGTGTCTCTAATAATAACTCCTGGGAGCAATGGCTACAACACTGCTCTCTAATAACTCCTGGGAGCAATGGCTACAACACTGCATCCTTAGTTGCTTCCATTTATTTATCGTTATCTGACCTGGATCTCTTTCTGATAGGCTTGCTCTCGTGTCCTGAGTTGCTGCATTTGATGCTCTTTCTCCAGGCCTTTTGGGGGCAGGGAAACACAATCTGTATGCAGACTGGTAACTGTCTAACCCGATAGATACTGGTTCCAGACAGGGGTACTTGGGAGGGAAAAGGTCAGGAGGAGACAACTTCATTAGTTTATACTTCTTAAAGTCTCTCTCTCATGGCTTTTTTGTAGGAGAGCGGAGATGAAATCTCGCCATGATGAAATCCGGAAGAAATACGGTAAACCTCCTGATTTTGCAAGTGACTTTCTCTTTCAAGTGCTTCTTCAAATCTTTGTATTGCACTAAAGTTCTTGTGATCCCTTGCTATAAACAAAACACTGGCTGGTGGGCAGGCACCCAAATGATCAGTTGCACTTTAGCTATGATAGCAATTGCTGTGTTCCTCCCTAGTATGTGTTTGGTAAGGTACCCCGTACCACCTATTAGTGAGCAGGAGGGGAACAGAAACTGCATAATTATAAAGCTGTGAAGTCACCTGTTCATTACGTTATACCAAATTGCTTTCCACGAGACTTCAGTTACACTCCACAAAGGCCAGACGGAGGCCACAGCACTTTTACAGTGAACACTTCAGATGCAGCCCTTCTGCAGCTTGTTCTGTGGTTTTTCTCTGCTTTCCTGGGGTTGAATTGAAATCTGCTGAAACAAAGAGGAAGAGGAAGCTCTGACGTTCCAGGCGGGGTGCAGCAAGACTGATTTTCATGTGATTATAATTAGTCCTAGTAATAGAGATACAGCCATGTTAGTCTAGTCTAGCTGAAACAAAAAATAGGACTATGTAGCACTTTAAAGACTAACAAGATGGTTTATTAGGTGATGAGCTTTTGTGGACCAGACCCACTTCCTCAGATCAAATTGTGGAAGAAAATTGGCATGACCATATATACCAAAGGGATACAATAATAATAATAAAAAAGTGAACATGTATAAAAAGGACAAACCAAATTTCAGAACTGAGGGGGGGAGGTTGTCTGTGAGCTAACGATATTAGAGGTGATAATTGGGGAAGCTATCTTTGTAATGTGTAAGGTAATTAGCATCTTTGTTGAGACCCAGACGTAAAGTGTCAAATTTAAGCATGAATGACAGTTCAGAGGTTTCTCTTTCAAGTCTAGTGTTAAAATGCCTTTGAAGCAGTATGCAGGTAATCAAGTCATTGAGACAATGGCCTTTCTGGCTGAAATGGCCAGAAACTGTTTTTTCTTTGTGATCCTGTCTGATATCTGTTTTGTGGGCATTGATCCTTTGGCGAAGTGTCTGAGACGTTTGTCCAATGTTCGTTCAACATTGACATTTGTTCAACCAGAAAGAGCATTGTCTCAACGACTTGATTACCTGCATCTAAGATCAGCGTGCACTCAATTTATCCCCTTCTTCTTCCATCCCCACCTCCCTTCCAGCCCTGGAGTAAATACATTAGTCTGACTGGAGCTTTTTTTCTTTTTCAGGCTTGTTTAAGGAAGAAAACCCTTACGCCAAATTTGAAAACAACTAGCCAGCCTCTTAGAACTGACAAGCAACACCAGAGCTCCTCTGCCTTTGCCGACTGGAGCTTTACTTCAGAGACTTAGAGACTTTGCATTCCAATCACCAAAAAACCAATCCTATTGCTGAGATGCATGATAGCCAGTTGCCAGAAACAGTCATGTGCTTCAGTAGAAAGCTGTGGGCCAATTTGAGACAGGACCTACTGTAGATGCAATGAGCTATTACAATCGGTGAGACTGAACCAGAAAACTTTCTCTCGAAACGTTCCAGCGTGGCTCGCCAGACGGTGCAGTAGTGTCTGGGAGTCCATGGGAACTCTTTGCTAGTTGTGTTTGGCAAGTCAGACGCCTTTGTGGCAGTAGTTCTGTCTCTCGGACTGTAAGTAGCGCATCAAAATTATTCCACCATTCATTTATACCAAAACACCTGGTTTGCTCATTCACGCCAAACCGGCGGAATACAATGACTGTGAAGAGCAGCTCATTGGACCAGTCTTGCCCTACTCCTTTCTTGTCACCAAATAAAGCTTTAAATCTCAGAGCAGGGCACAACTAGGGTGTGTTGGTCCTGTGTAAGGTAGAGCAGCAACCCAGAATATCAGGGTAGATGCATAAAAGAAGACTTCTTAGATCATCAAGGCCTTAACTGTGTCACTTAAAGTGCCTGGACAGTTGTGTGTGTTTTACTCAGCACCACTTTCAACTTGCGTAGGTTTTCTCTTTTTAATTATTCTGAGAAGGGGAAGGGAGTTGTTAGTTTTATTGGCAGGTCTCATTGAGTAGATGCTCATTCTCCTTTCAGAATTCCTTTTGTCTAGATGGCTTTTACTTATGTTTATCCTACCTCTGCTCTGTGCCTTTCTATGGCTTCTCCTGTAATAGTAATTCAAGACTGATATTTTGTAATACAAGACTTAGATGTAACACTAGTATTTTGATCCTTTAGCTAATATTATATAGACTGAAAAGCCTCAGCAATACTGACCTGATTACTCTTAAACCTGATTGTGCTGAAGCAAAGTAAATCCAAGTCTAATTTGCCTTCAGTAATGTGTTGGAAAATCCGTACTGTAGCCAGCGCAGCATGTAATCTCGAGAAGAATGTTCCAATAACCAAATAACCAGGTGCATGAAAGGGTGTTTGTCCAGAAGGTGCAACCGTTCAGCCTTTGGTTGAGTGGCGGTGTGGTTCATGCTCTCCATTTGATATTATAATCGGCACATGTAAGAGCCGTAGCCAGTTTTTCGGGTAGTTCTGCATTGTCCTAGGTAGCAGCATCTGGAATGTTGCCTGGTGCCTTAGGGCTGGAGCCAAGTAGCGAGAGAGAATTACTAGCCCGCATATTGAAAGTGCCACAGAGAAGCAGACAGATAGGCTGAACCGTGAGAATAGCCATAGTGGATGGGTTTTAGTCCTCTGTCAAACTCTGATTCAAAGAACTGACCCCACCGAGCAGCCACCTGGGGTTTTGAGGGGTTGGGAGTTTTTTTGGTTTGGACACTTCTGAACAGGTGAGGCAGCTTGGGGTTTTGTGTTTGTGTTGTTTTTTGAAAGTGGGTGGGCACATGAAGAAAACCAAATGGTAATAACATTGTCGCCTTCCAGACCATCTGCTCGGAGAACTCTTTCCAAGTTGAGGGCAATTGTCAGTGTACGAAAGAGCCATACCTATTTGGATTGAAAATACCAATTTTGTACTCCCAGGAAGCGATTTTTGTATAATCCTGTGCAAAGTCTTTTGAGTAAAACATGCCTGCCCTGAAGAGACTGGCTGGTGACTTGGGCTCCCTCTCCCTGTGACTTCTAAAAAGGAAGCTGGCGGTGAGATTTCAGTGCAGCAGCTGGGCTCCTGTAGTGGGTTCGGTGCCCAGCAATATTGTGTCATAACATTGCGCCGTTCCGGCTCTCAGATCTCCTGGAACGGCGCAAAGGCCACACCCTGGGGCTGCCCTTTGAACGGACTTCAAAGCACAGTCCTTGTGTGCGAAGACGTTACGGAAGTTGCTGGGTAGTGGGTTAGGGTAGGGCTGGAGGAGGCAAGCACTGCCTCTTCTGCCAAGGACCCCTATGGCCAGCCTCCCCTGCAGCGTAGGGGCAGGCTTCTCGCCCAGTGCACTCCCTGGCATGTGGCAGGGGAGCATGGGGAGAGTGGACTGCCCCAGCTGGCACAACTGAGGCCCGGGCAGCCCTGGAAGACTGGACTGGAGGGGGGGTCAGCAGCTGTGCTGAAAGGGAGACTGGGGGGGACTGTGAGAGGGGCCAGCCTGGCCGTTTGGGCAGGCATTGCCTTCCTCTGCCTCTGATTCCTACCACCCCTGCTCAAGGGCAAAGTAGCACTGAGCCGTGCACACTGGAGCTACAGTGGCCTAGAGGCGGTAGCACTCTACCTTTCCCTCCTGCCGTCCGTTTCAGCCAAGCACGCCCCAGCTAAATGCATGGCCTGGCGAATGCGAAACCCACTATGTGTGGGCAGTGCCGTGTGTTCCCTCTCAGGCAAATTGCTGCTTTGCACTGCCCTCTCTGGCATGGTGTTAGAGAAGGGGGTGCTGTTCTCTCACTTCAGAGTCCTTTCCGTGTGGGCAGTGCCGTGCGTTCCCTCTCAGGCAAACTGCTGCTTTGCACTGCCCTCTCTGGCATGGTGTTAGAGAAGGGGGTGCTGTTCTCTCACTTCAGAGTCCTATGTAGTGCCAAGGGGGCCCCCCGGGCTAGTCTAAACTGTGCACCCCTAACGTAGCTCTTCCCTAGCAAGAGCAGGGTTAGGCTAATTGCTAGGTGAGGCAGAGCCGGGTGTGATAACTTGACAAGAGAGTCGTAAGCTGCTGCCCTCCGCAGAGTTTCTCCGAAACTCTAGCTCTTGCTGCTAGGAAAAGCTGTCGAACGTTTCCTCTGTCTTGTGCTGGTTTCTGTCCACTGGCAGGAAGAAGCTACGTGGTATTAAAGTGACAGGCATGTGAAGCCAGGGCGTGTGAAGTCCAGTGCGGGCTGATGGCACACAGCACTGTGTGAGCTGGCCGCTCCCTCTGCAGCCAGTCCCAGCGCTCCTCCGCTGCTCGGGCATCCCCCAAATTCTAGGGGGACAAGCGCAGTGAGCAAAACTACCCTGTTTCAGGAGACCCACTTGGTTACGACAGTCTTGTGGCCTACTCACAAATTGAGGTTGCCCATCACTGTCTTAATGTGTTCATGTCTGTCTTGTTGGGGGGGGACAGGGGTGGGTTTGACTCCCAACCTGGGGCTTGGAAGAGCAGGATGGGTACACGTCCTGCTTCTAGGGGGACAAGCGCAGTGAGCAAAACTACCCTGTTTCAGGAGACCCACTTGGTTACGACAGTCTTGTGGCCTACTCACAAATTGAGGTTGCCCATCACTGTCTTAATGTGTTCATGTCTGTCTTGTTGGGGGGGGACAGGGGTGGGTTTGACTCCCAACCTGGGGCTTGGAAGAGCAGGATGGGTACACGTCCTGCTTAATTTTTTCACTTTTTCCATTTGCTTTTTGCTGCCATGCAAGGAAAATAAAATTTCGGGGGGGAGGAGCAGGGGTGGTTGGCTAGTGCCCTAATCTGGAAGCCTGCTTATTTACTTCAGAATACAGTGTGTGTCCTACAATGAGTTCAGTAATCTGGAGAGTGGGGGAGGTTTGAGTGGCAGCTGTCTACCTCCTAGCCTGTCTGTGTGCGTGACTCATGCCGGATATCTGGGCAGGTGGGCCTAGTTCATGTGAGGCGACATGGGGCAAATTTACGTAACACTTTTTCAAGGGGTGTAAGCTGGCCCAGGAGCCGAGGATTCCTGGTCTTCCAGTGAGCCTGGGAATCGACTTCTGTGTGTGCCTTTCGCAGCGCTCATGGCATCTCCCTAGCCCGGGAGCCTGGTGCATCTTACCAATCAGGTGCCCGTTGCCCAGCCTGGCTTACTTCCGTCACAACCGCCACTAGAACCCTGATCTCTACCTCAGGGCGCTGGGGTGTGTGAACCCTGCGCTGGGGCTGAAACAGAGGTGCTCTGGGCAAGGCTGGCTCCACATGGCGGGGGGGGGTGTCTTAGAAGCAGACGGTTGCAGACAGGAGTGGGTGTAGGGGAATAATCCCCCTTCAGACACGGTGTGAATATTTCATTTGATTACGTCACCGAGCCCCCCTGCTGAGGCAAACGGGGACACTATTTCAGCATCCAGACGACAAGCTGTAGCATCAGCCACGCAGCTTTATAGCCAGCATGTTCCTGGGCCGGGCTTGGCTGTCCTGCCCGGAAACCCTCACCCGCGTTCTGCTGGACGGCCCGGCCCGGGGATCAGCCATTCCATTGCTGCCTCCAAAAGAGATGGAAAGCCCCTGGGAAAGGCTGGCTTGAGCCCCGCCCTAGGGGCTGGTTGGCAGAGGATAACTGTGCCCTGGAGCGACCGTTGCACCTTCGGCATGACTGGAAGCCAGCTGGGCTGTGGCTCTGAGGGGCCCGTGTGCACACCTTGCGTGGGGAGGCGCATGCGATCAGAACGCACGTGCAGCTGGTCGGCTGCCTGGGAGAACCCTTTTTTGGCACGTCCCACCTCTAAAAGGTTGGACTTTACTATTTTCAAAGCAATGGTGGTTTGTTCTTTTAACTGAGCCCTGGCCGGTCATGGGAGGGCCCTGGATTCACTGCCGTGCGTGCATGAAGCTCCCCCGTCCTTGTCTTTAGAGGTGAAATGGGCTGTTGTGTGGACATTGGCTTGAGCAGGGTGGTGCGCTCGCTGGCTGGGGCCGGAGCCGGGGGGTGGTGGCCAGAGAAGGAGACTGCCCGGTGTGCTCCAACAAGGGGAGACCTTGGCAGGAGAAGCTAGAACGCAAGTGCCATTCTTGAGGGCGTCAGGGGAGCAGGAGCTGCTACTCGGCATGTTGCCCCAAAGCCCTTCTCCCATCACCCGGGGAAGGCCGCCCAACTCCCCAGGGCCCAGCAGCTGTGTGCAGGCCTATTCGCAGCGCGTCCGTCTGCATGACTGGCAGCCCCGCCTGAGGGGCCCGTGGTCCCACGGCTCCTTCAGGGGCTACGTTCCCTAGAGGCCGGCTGGCAGGGCAGTGGGGCGGGTGAGGATGCCCTCTGCTGATAAACAGAGTCCTTTTCTCAGGGTGTAGTTCGGACTCCCCAGGCTGGCAGCTTGATTCTGCCTCCAGGATCTGACCAGTGTCCCTAGCTGAAGACAAGGTGGGGCCATAGGCCTCCTTTTAAATGTCCTGCCAAGGCCCCCGTGGGGGTTCCTCCATCCAGGAGGAGACAGACTACACCTGGGAAGGAGCTGACCCCTGCCTGGCCACCCGGCCACCCACCCTTTGATTTCACCCAGTCGAGCTGGCCCCTCTGCTTTCCGAGGATAGGCTGTGTCTTTGTGGGAGGGCCCCCTCTCCACACTAGGCCCATGCCTTTCACCAGCACTGACTCCACCCCCTTGCCAAAGGGTGAAGTGCTGCTGTATGCAACTTAGCTTGCTTGTGCAGCATGACACTACAGGGAATGGCCCCAAACTTGGTCCCCGTGGCTACATGCAGCCGAGATCTGTTTGCTCTCCCTAGCTCTCCTCAATGGGGCGGTCGCCCTCGCTGCTGGCGGCGGCGGTACCCCAGGATGCTCCTGAGAGGGGAAAGAACGTGCTGGCAGGCGAGGTGCGAACCGGAAGTCCCAAGCTGGTACCCACCTGACCAAACCCATCGTGCCAGCCCTGCAGCCCCTGGGATCGCTGCCCTTTGCTTTTATCATTGCTCACTTCTGCCCCTGCCTGCTTTGCCCTGCCCATTGACTCAGGCTCGCTTGGACTGCACTGTCCACGCTACCAGCTTTTCACCCTCCCGTCTCCTCCGCTCCTTCCTTTTTAACTTCCATCTCCTGGGCCAGCCCTCCTCCCCCGCTCCTGGCCTGTGATGCTGTATTTACTGCCAGATCACTCTCAAAAGCTACTGAATGGCACTGGGCCTAGCTCTGATTCCTCCGGCAGCTTCCTTAGACATCCAGACAAGGATCAATCTGACCACTGCTTTGAGAGCTGGCAGCCACCTCTTAACCCTTGGAATGTGCACGAATAGGAGCAGCTAATTTTTAAACCCGCGTGCTGGGCACTAGTAAGTCAAAGTGCTTAGACTTTTGTAAGCCTATTACAGCTACAGCGTTACCGTTAGCAACCCAAGCTGTAATTTGACCGAGAAAGTCATGAGAACTTTTTTTAAAATGTTGGTTTTGATTGAAGCATGTGCACAAGCGAGTAGGTGCCTGGCTCTGCTATCGGAGAGGGTTTGTGGGTCTGTCTGGTCAAGAGCCCTCCTAAACCGTAGGGCTCTGTCTACATTGGCATGATTTTGCGCAAAGGCAGCCACTTTTGTGCAAAAACATGCTACCTGTCTACACTGGCGGGGAGTTCTTGTGCAAGAACACTGATTTTCTGATGTGTGAAATCAGGGCTTCTTGTGCAAGAACTATGACGCTCCCACTCAGGAATAAGCCCTCTTACGCAACTGTTCTTCCGCAAGAGGGCAGTGTAGACAGGCAACATGAATTTCTTGCGCAAGCAAGCCCTATGGTTAAAATGGCCATCGGAGCTTTCTTGCACAAGAGAGTGTCTACACTGGCACGGATGCTCTTGCGCAAAAGCACATCTCTTGCGCAAAGGCACATGCCGGTGTAGACGCGCTCTTCTGCAAATACTTTAACACAAGAACTCTCGTGATCATGTGCAAGATCATGCCAACGGAGACGTAGCCTCGGAGTTAAGAGTACCACATTCGGTCGGGTTTGGT